AAAAAAAAAAAAAAAAAAAAAAAAAAAAAAAAAAAAAAAAAAAAAACCCAGACCAACATGGCATGATGAAAAGAGAATGTACGAGAAAGAATAAACACGCAATCCCATCATCATTTCATCACTCACTGCAGTATGAAATCAAGCGCCGCCTCAGTTTAAAAAAAAAAAAAACAGACAGTACTGGGCTGAACTCTGGAGTTATGTAAGCCAGACACAGGAAACGCATACTTTATGAAGCAAAAGTATAGTTGGAAAATGATACGCTTTAGTTTTGCGATGAAAGTGAGCATGCATGGGAAAAAAAAATAAATAAAAATTCCAGAACATACAAGACTAAAGCAAGATGACTATGATTTATGCTCAGATCCTGCTTGTAAAACTACAGAGCTGAGAAATTCACAGAAACCAAGAAGGAAGCGGAGATGACGGACAAGATTCCTAATTGGAGGAAGAGCAGGTAACAGAGCAGGACTGAAGCAGAGGAATAATGGCAGGCACGTTCCAGGTACTTACCTCTTTGATGGCCGTCTTCTCATCATCGATCACTGTGCGATCACAAGAGAGACAGACAAGACAGGGATGAGGGGACCAATCTATAACTGAGCCGTTGATTTAACACCATACATCAGTCCTAATTTGTTGTCAGGATCAAATCAAATTGATGTAGCACTGTGTTGAAACATCATCCTGTGTTAATCAATTAAAAAAAACAAAAACTCTGATTTACACAAGACCGGCCCACGATGATCTAAAGCAAATAATCTTGACGGTGTGTAAACGTATGCAGTAACTGGTGCAACTGATTTTTATGAGTTTTTGAGCTGTAAACTACATTATACGACTGTGCTGTGATTAGACGCATCAATACTGACATTTCTTAATAAAAATCTGTATTTCAAGGCCAATAGCTATACAGCCGACCTGTTGGGACTCAAAGAATTTATTTATAAGAAATAAAATGATGACACCCACTAATCAGAGGCCACACACGCCCCCCCTACTTACATAATCTTAACCTTATACCAAGTCCTTACCGTACAATGTGATTATTTACATTATTGGGGACAGATTTATGTCTCCACAACAAGAGTACGACACACCCACACTTTAAACTCTCCTCTTCCCGCTACCAGATCTAAGGTGAGGCCTTTTTAGTGTGCAGTAAATTGTCTGGGCCACGGACTTATTGCTCTCATAAAGTGACTCCATTTTCTTAGTTTTTTTTCACCCCATAGTTGGGAGCGCATGAAGCTCCATTTGCTCTGTGGCCTCTTAATAAAGACAGAGATCTTTTGATACATTTTCCTTTGAACAGGTGGGCATGGAGCAGAACAAGCTCTCAGGTAGCTGGGCGTGTACCTGCAGTTAATCAGTAGGACAATGTTTGCGCTTGAAGTTCATAATGATAGGCAGGGAGAAGTTGGACTGTGACCAACAAGGAGCTGAGGAAAAGGTGGAACCTGGCACAAGGGCGGTTTCTCTTTGACACATACCCTGAACCGTTGGAAGATGGTTCTTTTCTTGCGTTTCGGTCTTCTTGAGACTACCTCTCTTAAACGCCTTCACCTCCCCAGTGACTGGACATTTGCTGCTCATTTTGGAAGAGTTCTACCGGAGAAAAGTTTGAGAGAGAGAGAGAGAGCAGGAAAAGATGAGCTCATTATCACTGAAGACAGCAGTAGTGTACAATCCCACACAGGTATGCACATTAAGCCCCACCTCTCTTAAAAACAACAACAAAAAGAGTAGCTACTCTGCTGAAGCCTGGAATTCACCATTAACCAGAAAAGCTAGTTTATCCCCCCCCCCGCTCGCCATTAACAAATGCATACAACGAAACAGCACGCGAGCAGGAGAATGTGTCGTCCAGGAAACCTATCGGACCACACCCCACAGTAACACGGAGTAACCCACAGGACAGTAAAGTAACTGTTGAGGAAAGTCTTCGGCCTGTAGCAGAAATGTTGAACAACACCCACTAACTTTTTAGAACGAAACAAAAATATCTCTTAACATTAACAATGTTTGCATTACATTACAATGTCTAGGCGTCTTTTTTGAGTGTGCGAGCTGCTAAACAGAGATAATTCAGAATAACTTTACCTGGTGCAGAAGTGCGCAGCGTCCTTAGCAGGTAAAAATGCGTCTGTGTGATGTGTCCAAAGCCAGCGCTTTAAGTAGAGACAACACGCCCTTCTGCACGCCAAAATGGACACGAACGCTCCAGCTCCTATTGGCTCCCAAAGCTCAGTGGAAGAATTTTGATTGGTCAATCCTGATGTCTGGGCAGAACTGATCGCTGTTCGTTCTTGCGCAGGAATGTTGCAATCATTTGGATCAGTTGTTCCTCCCCTCACCTGCGTAAAGTAAAGCACAACTACTGAGCTTCCATTATAGGGGATCTGGCTGATTTTTTTATTTTACACACACACGCGCGCACCATCTAATGGACGAGTTGTGACATGACATGGTTTGACAAAAATCACAGATCACAGAAACTTTTTAAATGCATGATGGATAACATTTATTTATGAATGCAGTTTGAGGGGGAAAAAAAAAAATCTGTATTCTGCAATAATTAATATCATGTCATTCCCTGTTCATTTCACAGGAATACTTGGCGATTACAGACGTTTCTATTTCACAGTAAAACAGTTGTTTTTAATCAGCTACATTGTAAAAACACTTGTTTATTCTATCCATTGGCTCATGGCAGGGCGCTGGAGGTGGCCCACGTGCAAGGTGAGAGGCAGGGTACAGTTTAGTTAGTTTCCAACTAACGTAACCTGAATGTCTATGGACCCCCATGCAGACACGGGGAGAACATACTAACTCCACACAGGGAGTGCCTATCTTGTTTTTTTGCAAGTCCTTTAATTCACATGCAATATTTATTTCCTACAAAATATTCAATAATGTATTGACAATACACCATAAACATGCATCTATCTCCCTTTATGCAGTTAAACTACAGTGATTTGGTATTGCACTTCAACAGAGACAGGTGGTCAAGATATCCTGATCTTTAGTGCCTTATCCAGCCCAAAACATGTATGGATCCTACTTTTATTCCATATTGAAAACATCATTGTTGCCTAGCTGGTAAATAACCGTCTTTATCTAAATCCACCACCCAATTTGTAATGCAGGGTTTTTCTGCTATAATTTGTAGTCTCCAAATCAGATCATCAGGCTGTGGAACTCGTTGGGCATCCTGTTGAACTTTATTGGATGTTGTTTATTCCCCATTTCTTTCCTGCAGTTTCTTCTTTCTACATGTAAATAAAAACAAAAATGACCAAAAATATGCAAATAACAAATAAGCGAAGTAACTCCAAAGCCACAGAGAACATTACTCAACTGTTGATAACCTGAGTATGATGAGTAAACTGACTTTGATGAGTAAAATTCCCCATTAAGAAAGTATAAATACAAGGCACCTGATTCACCAGCACCACATTTATGTTATCAATATATTTAACTTTGGTTCTTGATAAATACTTGGCCACCACCCTTTAGAAACCGCAGTTCAAGTCCTGGCAGTAGTAACGTGACCTTGCTTGTGCCTTCTGATACATTGGTCGTGGTTTCAGAATGAAAACGTTTTTTTTCTGGATTAAAACCAATACAAACAGTAAAAACTATTGTTTCATTTTGTTCTTTAACATGAACGTTTCTGCTGCCTGTCGTAGATAGCAGTGGTGATTCCCCATGTAATGCATGACCTCAGAATAACCAGTGAACCTCCTCTGTACAGCAGAGCAACGCTCCGCTGTCGAGATTCCCACAGAATCCTCCAACAAGCCATCACCCCTTTCACCTCTCCTCCCACCTGTGCCTGCATGTTTGCCACTAGCACCGACAGTGGGTAAAGGGTCAAGCTGATGGCCATGGAGGTCAGCGTCCCCGAGATGAAGGAGGAAACCACTGGAGAAAGCCCCTGTGCCTCCACGACAGCACACACCGGCCCCTTCAGGCCAAAGTAGAGGGAGCTGCCGAGAGCGTTGCGGGCTGTGATGGGCAGCAAGGCTCTGTAGAACCCTGAGGCCGGCCTCTGTGCCTTCAGCCGGACAAGAACACTCTTCAGGGTGGGTAGATGGCGGTCGTTTTGGCCATTTTGCAACACATTCTGGATGCGCTCAAAGGGGGTAAAAACCACAGCTTCTACCATACCTGCGCCAAACCCAGCCAGAGCGGGCAGGGCAGGGGTGAAGAGGACATTTTGGGATGACAGGGAGAGCTGGCGGAGGAGGGTGTCCTGGAGGCCAAAGAGCAGCGTGCCATTCAGGGTCCTCATCAGTAATGGTGGGGCCACGCCCCTGTAGAGCTTCACAGGTCCCTCTTTGAGGAGCTGTCCCACGGCCTGCTGAACCGGGGTGTTGTGGATTTGTTGACGGAAAACAGTTTTGTAGACAGGGAAGACAACGAGGGTGGATAGCAGGCTGGAGGTCCCTCCGTGCAAGTAGCTGTGGAAACGAACCATTGGATCCCTGAGGCCCCCTTCATCTTTGTTGTCAGGGCTTCCTGCCATCCTTGAGCGGAGTAAAAATTGAATCACAAATCATTTCAGTGTCACCCTAACAAAAGGACAGTCAGACTGAGACTGAGAATGCCTACAGGCAAAAAAGAACTAAAACTGAAACTTAAGGGTAAAAAAACACAGCCAAAGAAATTTCACTTAAATAATATAGGCTTAACATATGAATGTTCATGGTAATTTTGGGATCAGAATAATTGAAGAAAAATCTGAGATGCATTTACTTACCCAGTCAGCTATCAGTAGACATTAAAAAACAGTAAATATATAAAGCCTATCTACTTAAATGTCCTCCGTCTGCTGCTGGAAGCTGAAGGCAGCACAGGCGTCTGTTTGTTTCCTACACTGCACGTAGAGAGAGCTCATTCCGGGTAATTTGCCTCGTTAACACGGCAACACGTTTTCTACTCGAATAAGGACACAAACTGTCAGACCACATCCAAAAACGTGTAATTGTTTCAGTATTAAAATGACAGGGCGCACTGAGCATCAGGCTGCCGGTGTCGGTGATTGGCCCGCCTCTTCTAGAATAACCATTGGTCAAGACGATCTACGTCACGTGGTTGACGATTGGTTATTTTGCACATCAATCAAGGTGTTTTCTTTCTTCGGAACAAGGGTGCGTCACAAGTGAAATATCAAAACAGGTTTACCACGGGAATTATTTATTTTTACTTAACCCTTTGACAAACACAGACGTCAAGGGTCTAATAAACACATTTGGATTTTAACCGTTCAATGATAAATGTCTTAATTCGGTTTCAAAGCATTCTTGACAAACACCGAATGTGGAAAATGCATATAACAAAGACCAAGGGCTTTGATCGAATAATTTAAACAATCTCGGGAACACAAATCCGAGATTGCATTCACACAGGGACTGCAGATGGAAACTAGTTACTACAAAAATGTATTGTGCACTGTTTGGAATAAACGAAACAAAACAGCTACCCATGATCCTGGTTGTATTTAACTTTTTCATAGAGCTTAAATGCATAATTGTTATATGCACTAAATCAAGAAACAAAACAAGAGCCAGGTTTAAGATTTTAGGCATATTTCCTTTTATTAAGAACGCATCCCCAGATAACCGGTGCATCCACCCTACTGAAAAAGGCAAACACAAAGGTTTGGAAATGCACATTAATGACAAATCCTTCCTCTAGACATACAAAAAGACCAAAAAGCAAAATAATAAAAATAAAAATGAAATAGCAGGTGAATTCCTTAAGGAAGCTCCAGCCTGCAGAGACCCCAAAACTAAAAACTGACAGCTTCTCGATAGAAAGCCCATCAGCAGAGAACCTCCAAGGGTAACTTCTGACCACTGGGCAAACTCCACTCAATGGAGGGCACCTCAAGAGTTGAAAGAAACATCGCAGAATATATTTTACTTCCTGATAGAAACAAGAAAGTTATTCATCCAGTGACAAAATAAAACACAGCTAGATAAAA